ACCTTACATATACCTAAACCTACCCGTCTCCACCCCCTGATCCCTAAACCCACCCATCTCCACCCCCTAGATGTGGATCCAACCCCGGCCCCTGGATCTTTGCTCTGCAGTGAGGGGCTACTGATCTTTTGGGCATTCTTTGGAATTATTGCACTCATATCAACAAGTTATCACCCCTTAGTTATTCTAACTCTAAATTAACTTAGCTTCATAGTAATGCCGCTCCCGCGCTGTGCCCCACCTGAGCGGCGTCAATATCACATGCAAAACACCCTCATGTAGCCTACTTCCATAAATGTCATCAAAATGAATAAAACTATCCGGACCTGATGTCTGATGAGTTTTAAAGCCCGACGCGCTTCTGAAAGGTAAGATTATAGCCTACTGTGAGAGAAAGCATGGGGGAGACACAGGTGGACCAAGTGTAGGCCCATTTATAACGCTACGAACAGTGTTTCATTTGTAAATTGCGAGGTCCCGGAATAAAGCGGGGTGACGGATCCAGCAAGTGATCAGAGGATGGAGAGGTAATGGAGCTTTAGCGCAATCATTTAGTGGACCCACTTGATTACCAGCTTGCATCAGTTGCTTTTATAGTATGCACAAATACTCTAGAAATCATGGTTATTTTATTGCAACAATTTTTTTGTGTTTGGGTAGTTTTTGTGTAACCCAGCTCCTGGGACAGGAGAGTCGCAACAACCCAGTGTTTGTAATGAGCGCAGATATTTTGCATTCTCTTCAGGTGAGAGTAGTTCTCAGTGCCACCGACTTGCATTTCTTTGGTCAAATATAGGTTTGTGTATGTTTTATTTAATGTATAAAACAGTTTCTTTGCTGTAAATCACTTTATTTTATGCAAAGCAAACCAAGTCACCTAAACAAGCCGCATCAGTCTTTTTGCGATGATTAAATGTTTCATTTTTACTTGTTAAACAAGTTTAAATGCAAGTAATGTTGTATACATGTTTAAACTGTAAAATATGTTGTATTAAGAACTGTATTAACTAAAAGGCATTTAGAGAAAAAGAAAGATGTCAAAATAAATGAAAAACTAAAACGAAATGAAACCAACAGCAGTTATTGAACACCTAAATAATAATAATAATAATAATAATAATAATAATCAAAAATAAATAATCGTTTTCATCGAACTTTTCATCTTTCATTGGTGTGTGAGGAGGGGGATCCGCCAAATGAGGTTATCGGAATTCGGAGGTGTTGGACCCGGACCCAGCTTGTTCAAATTACACCCTGACTACGAATAGGGATTTCGGCTGTACGAGCACGGCTTGAACAGATTTCTGTCTCTTAGTGAAAATGAACTACAGAGACTTGTGCTTTCCGTGTTCGAGCTGCTTACCGGGAATTCTCCCAAATCTCCCCATGGCCACTTCAGGCCTGTACATACACTTAATTTGCTTTTGCAGCTATACTAGTGGTTATTTTTATTAATTAATTTTTTTTATGTTGCAGTAGGAAGAAAATATATAATAATCAGAAAACACGCCCGTGTCTGCTGTTTTAACGCAGTTGTACCAATAAACAAAATCTCCAGTCTTTCACATGCATCTTAAAGATTGTGTTTAATTGTGATTGTGAAGTGGGGGCGGCACGGTAGGGTTTTGCCTAGAGCGGCAGTTGAGCTCACGCCAGCCCTGCGTGAAACCAACACGGAAGTGACTAAAACTGCAATTCACAAAACTACGGGTGACGTCACGGACACTACGTCCATGTTTTTATACAGTCTATGGTTTAAACACATCAGCACTAACAAAATGTTTGTCTGAGGATTTCTACTAGCCTAACACAGCAGCATTCCCAGGTAAAAAAAAAAAAAATTTACACTTCTATAATGTACTTAAAGTACTCTATTTTCACGCACTACTTTTGTACTTAATATACAAAAAATTATTCTTTAGTACTTCGTAAGATAAACTTAAGATCAACTAAGTGTACTCAACTGTGATATTTTGGGACACCATGAATATGAACTCATATTCACGAGTTATACTTGGCTTGCTGTCCTTAATGGAGACTCGGCTTCAGTGCCGAGTTAAACCCCTCTCATTACGGTAGGCCTACTACCTAGAGGGAGAAAAACAGAAAGAGGAGGAGATGGGGAGGTGGAGGGATGCCGGAAGAACTGACACTGGGACAGTGCAATGAGAGCTGCTTATATAGGCTCCTAATGATGATTGACAGGACTGAATGATTAGACTCCTCCTGAACCTACGTTTGGAACTTCATTAAAATGCACTTTTAACATACTATCTCTGTATTTAAAAAACGTATTTAGTCACCACTTGTAGTACATCTGAGTGTACTAGTGTATGAAAGATGGGTTCAAGTGTACTACAAGTGGTAACTAAATACATTTTTAAATGCAGAGATAGTATGTTAAAAGCGCATTTTAGTTCATATTCATGGTGTCCCAAAATAGCACAGTTGAATACACTTAGTTGAGCTTAAGTTCATCTTAAGAAGAACCAAGGAATCATTTTTAGTATATTAAGTACAAAATAAGTACGCAAAAATAGAGCACTTTTAAGTACATTATGGAAGTGAACTTTTTTTTTTTTTAACCTGGGTTAGCAAAACCAGTGGTATGAATTTGGGGGAGGACTAACTGTATGAGCAATGGCAGATGGGGAGCGTTTGCAAACAGTCACTTTTGCAATTACATTTGACACTTGTGGTGTAAAATTACACAAATGGAAGAGCTTGGTTACAAAACTAGGATTATTCACTACTGGTTTTATACTATTAATAAAACAGGAACATATGCAGAAACAACACTTGACACCTTGATAGAAAAAAAGCACAAATAATGGAAAAAAGGTTTGTGTTTTAATGAACTGAAAGACAAAAAGTTTAACTGAAAAATATCCCGTAAGTGATCACTCTGAGGCAGTCCAATCTGATTTCGGTTGATCTGTCTCCAACAGAACCAGGTAATTACACAGAACAGTAATGGATCCCAGTAGCACAGGTTTACAGGTGTACCTGATCCTGCAGTTGGACCTCTTTCACGCTCTCCCACACACACACACACCTCTACTGGGTTAAGCATAGTATTGCAGATTGGCTTTCTTCTTCGCCTGCACCTCCAGAATGCCCTCCATATAGTCCTCATGGTTAAGTTCAGTGGCCCCACGGCGCAGAGCAATCATGCCCTAACACACAAAAGCAAACAATACACATTTAGGTAACATGCAATAACAATCAGTGTTTAAGTGGAGCATTAAAGTGTGTAATTTCGATTCAGATTATGTTTTGCAAATAAAACAAATCTCTTTTTGTCAGGTATCGTCAGACTACCTATATCAGGTTGTATCTTGCATTAAAGCATGTGAATGAATGAAATACTTTTTTAGTACACATGTGCCCCTTTTTGGAATCAAACTTGTCACACAAATGACATTCAAGTCCTGGGCCTTAACCACAACGTTAATACCACCCTAAAAAAGAGATACTAGCAGTAAAGGTAATTATTACACCAAATACACAAAATAATGATCTTTAAAATAGCATCATATGACCCCTTTAAGGTTTCAAATCTCATACTTACAGCTTCAACACAAACTGCTTTACATTGAGCTCCATTGAAGTCATCAGTACAGCGTGCCAATTCTTCATAGTTCACATCAGGACTATAGCACACAAAGTCAAAGATACCGTCATGAAATAAATGGTGGGAGAGAACAATGCTAATTTTAGAGAATTGTTCAAATTTGCATAGCAGTTGAACTTCAGTTTTACAGACAGAATAGACAAATGACTATCATGCAATCCAATAAAACATTAAATAAGCTCTGAAAGCTGTTGTTTTGTTGCTTTAACTTCCTTGCCCACAAAAACTGTGCTCTACCACTGCAAATGTCTCATCAGTTGATGTGCAAAAATACAAAATTACCGTTTAAAAGCAAATGCCCCACCTAACAGTAAAACATATATTAACTCAGAACAACACCCAGGACCAGCTGAAACACAAAAGAACAAATGTTCCATACCAGACATT